TTTATAATATAAAACTCAAATATCAATAACGTAATGGGAATAAAACTTTGCTCAAATAGTTCGCTCAAGCTATTTCATCTACCGCCCAAAAAATATGTGGACCTCAGTGTCTACGGTTAATTTTTTGACGAAGGTAAAGGTGAGAACTAGAATTGAAATTCGAGGAGAACAAAAATGGGTAAAATCGGGTCAATACTTCTCTTCTCGCATCTATCGGTGAATACTTGCCTTTGTTTGATATAAACTTTTGCAACATCTGAAAGTATTTCCCCGCCTTTGATCTTTTCAAATTGCAAGGGTTAATACTAATTAATAGTATTATTGTTATCTGAGTGATTTCGATACATACCGTTACTTCAGTACCTTGCCTACTGTCCGATCTATCAATTTTCAAGACCAGTTCCAAAAAGCAACTCGGAATCTCGTAAATTTCCTATTAGGTAGGTGTGATTGCGATAACTTACTGTTGATAACTGCAATAAATGAAGAAGATGGCCAATAAATAAATACTGAAATGAGTGCGACGTGTAGACAGGAGCAGCAGGACCGGCAGGACTACGGCATGAAGTCAACGAGCAGCAACGTTTCAATGAAACAATTTAATTAAAATAAACGGCCCAACGAGAAACATTTCATGCTGTGGTTAAATGACAATTCAAAAATAATAGCAATCATAAATAGTATAACAACAACAACAAACACAACAAATAGGCCGCGAATTGACATCATCTCACTTTGCTCCATGCCACATTGGCCATAATCAATACTATCAGCCAATATCACCATTTTACTTTGTTGTTGTTGTTATTGTTTATGTCGCTGTATTGCTGTTAATTAAAGCATTGTCAAAATTGTGAAATTCGCATGCTTTATTGACTATACGTGCGCCCTCCGAACTACAGCGCGCCGACAGTTTGTCGACCATATCCGCACATTTAAATGTGGCATGCAACGCTTCATTTGGCCGTTAATTCACTGCCAATAAAGTGACAATTGCGCAGGCCATTTAGTGTGGAATACCGAAAACAACGCTGCCAAAACGTTTTTATTGTTGACGATCATAGGCCAATTCGCAAAGCAATAAATTTTGATTGCGCAGAGCGGCGAGCTGAGCAGAGAGCGAGGAGGGAAGAGTAGAGCGTGCGCGAGCCAACTTTTGCAACTGCAACTGCGGTTGCGGTTATCAAGCGTGACCGCTTGCTGACCAAGGACGCGTTGAAAGGATGTGCAACAACAAACACACACACACGCACACATGCAAACCAAAATACGTTTGGCTGGCGCTGGCAGTGACTTTAACCAATTTTGTTGCCCGAAACTGTTATTTTGACTACGGTGTGCGCAGAACAGCGCGTTGGCTTTACATAACCTCACAATTTATTTACATTTATTAAATTTATTACCATAATTAATGCTTATTTGGCGTCGGATGGCCTGTGACCAGCACATAATTATATCACTGCAACATTACTGAGTTACGTGCGGTTGCATGTGGTCCAGTTGTAGGTACTTTAAAGCCCGTGTTTTTATGTGGGTGTGCCACATAACTGCCCTTATATTTTACGTACCAAGGTATGATACATTGCTTTCGTAAATTTATACTGTTATCCTTTTATCGCTGCCAAAAGTTGTTTACTGCAATGGCATCAGTGGCAGCAGCTGCAATAATTGGCCTTGCCTTGTTGTTGTTGTTCGTCGGTTATTGGCCGTGCTTTATGGATTTTGGATAGTAGGGCGATTTATTCGGCTTGCCGCAGATACATATATGCAAACACATTTACGCTAAAGTACATACAAGGACACACTGCCAAATATATTTTGAAGGCCAAAGTAGCGTTTTTGTTATTATAAATAACAAAAATATTTTGACTCTTTTAACGTATTTTTGTTACAATCTGTTGGGTATCAAAAATATATTTTTGTTATTAGAGCACTTTCATATGAGATATGTAAAGATTTAATATGCGTTTATTTGCCAGAAATTAATTAAAATTTTAATTACTTTGTTATTTGCTATAATAATAATATATTTATGCTGATTTCGAGTGTTTGTTTATATTGCAAATAGTCAGAAAATTGAGAATTATTTATTATTTGGCAACTCAATTAAGCGATTATATTCACTGGTGAATTTCAAAATTTTTTGATTTTTTTTTGCATATACTATGTATTCTATGTATATCGAACGCACATATATTTGATGATCTGGCAAATGGTTTCGGAGATATGAGCGTATTTGTAAGCATTTTTTTAACATAGTGTAATTGGCATTTTAACTAACGTTTTTTTCAGAGTAGATAAGGATTACTCCTCCGATACAGCTAGATTTTCAATTTTCACTTGACTTCAGATATGTATATTTGTGTAAAATTTTGTATAAAAGCAATATTTTGGGAAGCAGCGACTTTATGAAAAATTTCGACTGGTTCTTCGGTCATTAACCGTATTAATCTAATGTTATAACAAATTTTTTGGTGTTTGGATTTAAGACAATTTTATGCTGAAAAGTCCTCCTACAGAAGAAAATTAGAAAAAAAATTAAGAATTTAAAAAACTGGGAGGTGATGAATTGGGGGTTTATAGAACACATGAGCATACCCATGATTTCAACCCTCCTAGGCATCTGAAGTGAAAAAAAGATTATCAATCTGCAATGATGTCGCAATTGTATGAATTCGCGATAAGTAAAGAAATATTTTTTTTTACAAAATGGTGACTGTTTGAAAAAAAAAGATTTTTTTACTATTTTTTTATGTAAACATTGTATGTGTGCACGATATGATTTTCGGGATCTTACTTCTGCAAGCGGAAATGCATTTAATGAAATGAAAGAATGAAACATATATCAAACTTTGCATATTTTTAGGCGCTCTGCTATGAAAAAGTGATCTTAATGGTGTTGTAAGACGCATATAAATAAAATATTGCATATTTTTTGGCGTTATCGATAACCGACATCAATATTTCCAAATAAAGTTTAACCAGAGAATGTAAATGAATACTCTATTCATAACATAATTAACAGCAGCTCGATCAGTTGAGGCAGGTTTTTTATAATTTTTTCTCACTTTCATAATATTTTTTCTCACTTTCATAATATAAAGTAAAATTGTCACTGAGAATGAATTTTCTATATCAACGAGTGACTTCCAAACTTTCCTTGGTATGTATGCAATATATTCAAGAGCTCTCCACTAAATTATATGTAAGCTGAATTCGAAAACTAAATGTTGCGTACATAAACCTGCGATTATTTATGTTGCTATTTGAGCACTTTCAAAGGAGAACAGTTATTTGGGAACAGCTCGATTGGTGTAAAATGCGTCTACTCCACTCAATTGCATTTTGTTGATGCAACTTTCCACACACAGTGCTATTTAAACTGCATGAAAGCAAGATAAGTAAGTTATGGTACAATATATTTCAAATTATTTAAGATATAATATAAGATTTATAACTTATATAAAATAATATATACTTTTTTTTGATTTTATAATATCTCTTATAGTGATTTCTGGTTTGTTTCCAGCTAATTTATGGTACAACTTAATGCATAATAGCTTTTAAATTTTTTAATGTCAATACATTTAATGTCAACAGTACCTCTTAAAATTCTGAAGGGCATAAGTACCAGTACTTGAGTGAAGGACTTCTAAGCACGGGTGGTGGCTTTCAGAGTTTAAAAACAAAACCCTCGAACCACTTGAAAGAGTAATTCTCGCTAAGTGGTGCTCAATTAACTGCGGGAGGTTCAATTTAAAAGCGAAAAATATCAGAAATATATTTACAAGCGTTTGAAATAAATGATTACATGATTTATTAACAAGAGGTAACTGATTAACAAGCTGAATGTCAATATTTATGAAGAGACATTGCATAGATGAAGTGATCGTGAGTACATGCGAAAGGCATCTAATATTAGTGAGCAGATGCACACGCCATGATAAAAATATTTCATCAAAATTCATTTTTTTGTTAATGTTATTGAAGCCTGAAGGTTATTTTCAAAAAACCACTGCAGACAAATCGTTGAAGTTTTGTGAACTCAAAGTAAAGTGTTCGTACTATATTACATATTTTTTTCGCGGTCAATTAGTTTAAATAATAATATTATACATAAATGTTTGTTTAACAAATGAAGTTTTTCATGCTGATTGTTAATCTTTAACAACTTTTCTCCAGATTTAATTTAGGTTAACATTAAAACTAAAAAAAAAATTAAACAAATTTTCCAGAAGGAGGTGTTCTCTCCAACTTCTATCTAGATTTGTTATGGCCGATATTATCTTTAGAGTACCCTTAAGGGCATGCCTAGATTATAACTTACTTCAAATAAACACCGGTCCAAGCACTTGTTACAATTTACAAGAGTTACAATCCTTTTCCTATTACTGTGCTCTAAACTACAAGCCGTTACAAATGAGAGCCTGGTTCTGGTGACTATCGAATTATTCTGATCTGATAGATTAGACTAAATTGCAACTTAGCCGCACTTGAATCTGCATGATGCTCATATATTTAGTAATCTGTCTTCACTGCCACTGTGTGGTTCAACTCCGAGACAGTTATTTTGCTGGCCCTTTCATTAGATGATTCTAATGAAAAACTCTGTACTCCGTATGTGTTGACTCATGCTCAGGCAACCAACATTCAGAAGCTCAAATAATTTCAAATGCTCGGTTGAGTATTGAGTTGGCATAGCAATATGGAGAGCATAAAAGCATAATATTCGTTGTTTCCTGAAAAGTTTGAGAAACTCTTTGAAACTGATAAAGAGATGTACCATGTAATAATAACTGAAAAATATTTTCCAATTCAAAAAGCGGTACATTCACACAATAAGAAAAAAGCTTTTGTACTCTTTATAAATGAGGTTAAACTTTGCGTTTTTACTATCACTTCTACGTTGGTATATTTCAACAGTTCTAGATCTATATATCGGATATCTTTAGTTTTATAGCTTTGTCTTTGTCTTCAGAAACAAATTTCTGTGAATTAACAAACTAAAATTTTTTCGATTATACAACATATTTTTATTTTTTTACAATTTCTTTTCAAAGAACATTTGCTTTCAAAATTTAAACCACTATTTACTTATAAATGTAATCTTAAGCTTTATATTTATCTTTACAATTTTAAACAATTCCATTTCTACTTATAAATTTAATAACACGAACGCTTAAATCTACTAAATAAAATTCGTTGCTCTTTAAATCTGTAATATTTCCAACAAAAGCTCTCCTCGAGCACACAAAATACTCCATTTTTATTTACATTACACACGCCTATAGGCAATATTGCGTAATACCTGCGACCATACACCGCATTACATCTCTAAACAGCTCGAGCTTCCTTCGCCGTGCCGTCGTCATTTGACTGCTCCAAACTGCGTCTCTTAGAATTCATTCGCTTCGCACTGCCAATCCTGCAATAAACCCAAAATTTGCAACGACTCATACGTATCGAAGTCATCAGCGTAACGTAGGGACCGCAATGTCCGCGTGCTAACATCGAACGCCGCGCTGGCGGCCCACTTGGCGCTGACGCCGTACGCCTTGCCGATTTTGCACTCGTACTCACGCGGCAATGCCAGAGTCAACGGTAATTGTTCCGCCATAACGGAATGATGCGTGACCAATGCCTTTAACGATGTAAATTGCTTCTTGGCGCCTTTCAGCTTGTAATGGTTGTCAGCCAGCGACACGACGACGAAGTGCTTCACCTTCGTTTCGACGCGCAGACACAGTTCGTAGCTGCGTGATTTGCGGCGTAGCAGGAAGGTGCCGGGTGATGCCTGCTGAAGGCGCTCAAGCGCGGCTTTGGTGGTTATGCGCGGTTGATACCAACTGCTTGCGAGCAACTCGGCCTCCTCGCTGCCGTCGTCTGAGTTGCGGTTGTAGCGGAACTTTTGCTTTGGCTTTTGTGGTTGTTGTTTCAGCTGTCGTTTGCGTTGTTTCGCCGGAGTCGATTTTTCGCTTATCAACTGACAGCAATCGGAGATGCCAGCATCCGAATCTTCGTCGACATGTTGGTAATCAGCGTTCTCAGGGCACCATTCAACTTCTACATCCTCATCCTCTTCCGGTTCTGTGGTGGAATCGGTATACTGTGTGATGTTTTGCCAGCAATTCAACGAGAGCATTGATTTTTGCGGACTAATCGATTTTTGTGGTATACTACCATGTTTTTGTTGTTGTTCATTGTATGCACATTGTTGTTGTGGCGCAACTTCCTCGGCGTCACTCTCCAATGGGCAAGTGCACTGACTACTGCAATCACTGGCGTCCTCCTCATCGGCATTGTACGAGGAATCCAACATGTCAACCTGCATTTGTAGTTGGAGAGAGAGTGGGAAAGAGAGAAGAAAAGAAATTTCGTGAGTAAGCTATAAAAAGATTAGAAATCCGAAAATGTTGCCGCCTTGCTTAGTTCGCTGCAAGCCAACTCACCTCATCATAATCACTGGTGACGTCCTCCTCGGTGTCGCTTTTGCAAAGTGTTGCCGCCATTTGCGCTGCTAGCTGTTTTTCTCGTTGTTGTTGCTGTTGTTGTCCATGTCGTTGCTGAAAGAGTTTCCGTCGCAAAAAGTCCTTCATGCAATCGTACACTTTTGGTCTTTTGCCGGCACTAACGAGCAACTCTCGATCTCCGCCCGTAGCACCCCAGCAATGCTGTTGTTGCAGCTCACCGCGCGCCTGCTGCACCTCGGATGCGTTGCCCACCAGTGTCAGCCGACTGTAGTAGCCCGAGGTGGTGGTGGTGTAGGAGCAAGAGTGCGAGCACGAATTGGATTTTTGTGATGATGAAGACGTTGACAAGTGAGTGACACAGTCAGCATTTGTTGCAACCGGTATTGTTGTGTGTTTTTCTGTTGTCAACACAGGCATTGTGTTGTTGCTGGTGGTTGTTGGCAGAAACTTGCTGCTCCATTGTTGATATTTGCGCAAGGCCAAGTCTAGGCTGCGACTTGTCATCGTTGTTGCTGCCATTGTTGCTGTTGTTGTCGTCGCCGCCGCCGCTGCGGTTGCAGCTGTAGGCGTTGCTGCGACTTCCATGCTGGTGGTGCAAGCGTAAGCCGGATATAATTCAGCGTACGCTGGACAATTTGCGCCAAATTGCTGTTGTGGCTGAAAGCAACAGAGAAAAAAGAAGTAAAGTAGTACCGTTAAAATTTTCCGTTTGTTGCAAACTTTTGTAGTATTTGGTATTACAAACATTTCTTTTAATGGGTTTCGCATTTGTAGTTGTGGGCAATTTACCGAAATCGCGCAGAAAATTACCAATTAGTGGAAAATGTTCTTGAAATGCTTGCCAAAAGTGGTGAGCGAAGAGTTTGCAGAGATTAGGAGATGCTTTAAAGTGTTTTAAATTTGATGATATATTAAAGTGAGATTTTAAAGAAATTTGTTCAACAAAAAATTGTTTTAAAATAAAGGGTTTAATTTTTTGTTTTAATTTTCAAGTCGGATAGTTCCGGTTTAAGGACTCTTACTAATATATACGAACTTTTTTCAATATGATCTTGGAGTCTTAAAATTCAGGTTTAAAGACTGAATGAAAACATAACATAGTTTAGTGAAAACTCTTTGACTCTCTAAATGGAAAGAGAGACAAATATTAAAATATACCCTAGAGGGATATTTTTTGAGACTACTGATATTTATAGTTGAGAACTAAACCATTTTCGTCAAATTTGTATCGATTAGCAAAGACAAAAACCATTAAATTCACTCGTAACATATTTGGCCACTGTATGGTCGTGAGTAGACTACAGTAGTTCGTCTGCGCTACGAACTGGTTAAGAATTACAAAAAAAATTATGCAGAAGAAAGAAATCTAATTTGAAATTGTGGTCTTGTGGTATATACAAGAGTATTATCGTGTTTTTGTATACAAAAGTGTCCACTGAGAGAATCTTCTTGTCATATCAGGCTTCGCTTATATTCTGTTCTCCTTAAATGTCTACTTTAACCTGCCTTTATAAATCATTAAAATAATACCCATTATAAAATAACAAATGATTTGGTGTATGTGCCTTCTCACCAGCAAACACTCATAAATTTGTGTCTTTTCATAGGGTAATCGTATAATGTGTCGCAACCACTTTACTTTGCCAAGCATGACTTGGTAGAATTGGTTCTTTAGTTTACAGAACGTATGTTTCTCAATAATAAATTGCCGCAATTGCTAAAGCATAGGTTTATATACATATATGTATGTATGTAATACTACAAGTAATACTACTTGTACTCTGACAATTGTCCCTTCCCGAAAAATTCGCAGGATTCGCAATGGGTGCTCAAAGCAAAGCAAGCAACACCTTCTTCGTAAATGTACTGTCATTACTTCACAGGAAATTCCAGTTTTAAGTACGTGTCTATATCGGTATGTATGTATGTCTATTCAACACACCTTAATGCATGTGTTTCTACGTGCCCTGTCTTAGATTTCCCACAAGAGCCGAGTTTTGTCAACAAATCCTGCTGCCTGCCTGAGTCTACTAAGTAGCTGTTTTTCAATGCAACCTAGCGGCGGTCACGCCTAGCTTCTTTTTTGCATTGAAAGCAGCAAATTTATTGGCATTACAAAGAAAAAGCAAACTAACCGATATGCCACCGTGGTAGTTTCTTGGAAAGTGATTAAATTAATAGTGGCGGATTTGATGAATGAGTCACATATCGCTTACTACGAGTGCCTAGAGTGACTCTACACAGTAGAATTGAAACAAGTATTTGATGTTTTGATTTTTTTTCAGATTATTTTGGTAATAAAATCCTGACTATTCTATTGGTTTAAGCTATTTATAGCAAAAATAATAATATTTATGTTGAAATACCTTTTATTAGGAGTTATGTGATTTGCAATTGGAACGGCTGCGAAGAATATAGTTTTTATTTAGAGTTCAACTACTTGGTGCTAAGTAAAGTCAGTGTCATTTTTGCATTTAAAATCCTCCTAATAGCAGGCAACGTATTAACTGCAGAGAAAATTTAAATTGTAAACCATTGCCTACATTGAGGATAAACCTAGCAAATCCACACACCAACTCTAGAAATATGATGTTGAAGTAATTGTTGCTACGGCTCTAAAAAGTCATAGACCCTATAAAATCTATATATAAATGATCAGCATTATGTCTGTATAGCTGTCAGTGTATACGTGAACTAGCCGCTCAATTTTTGAGAATGCTGCTCATTAGTGAATCGCCAATATCGGATCACTATAGCATATATTATACTTGTATGTAGCTGCCATACAAACTGAACGATCAAGCCCTTGTATGGAAAACTTTTATATTGCAGTTCACTTAAAAATCAATGCGACCCCCCCAAGTGAGTACATGAAAAAATTTTTTTGCAAGCGTTGACACTAAAGGATAATCACATTATAGTGGCTTCAAAAGGGCATGTGGACTATAAACACGCACCACTACATACCTACATAAATTCATATGAGTGTATATGTACATATGTCACATGTTTGCATTATGACTTTGCTTTATGTTCGCATATGTTGCACATTGCCATATTTACTTTAGGTACTTTAGGTTTATCAAGCAAAAAATACTGTTAAATTTCTTTAGCGCACAGTAACTTAATGTGTGTTGGGGGAAAACAGGACCTAAGCTATACGTTGCAGTTGTTGCGGCATGTTGCTCTTTTATATTTACACTTCTGCTGGGCTTGGTGACTTAACTTTACCACTATTTCGCTTGTTGTTTATTTTATTACATTTCATATTTCTACACAAAACTCATTTTTGGCACTTAACTCATTCCTGTCGTCATTTTTTGTGGTCTAAAGCAGTTACAGGAGTTTATACATGTCCATACAACAACAATAACACAATCGGAACTCTCTTCTTTTTATATTATTTGCACTACTTATTTGCCAGTTACTTCGAAAATTTTCTTCTACTTTTTTGCAGAGTCACTTTGGGCGTTGTTTTTCAACTTAAATAAAGGCGAGCGGACCAAAAGGCATTTTCTGACTTAGTGTAAATGACGGTGAGTACAAAATCAGGGCATATGTCGCTTATGTGTGTGTGTATGTATTTGCAACAAAAAATAATAATACTTTTGTTTACCACTGTAAAGGCACAGCAGGATAGTGTAAGGGGGGGAGGGGGTTGGATATACATTCTTATGTAGTGTTCGGATTTGGAGTAGTGAGAGGACTTTTGGGAATTACAAAAAGTCAGTGCGAGAAAATTGAAAAAAAAAAAATCAAAAGTGAGTAGCCTAAAAAGGCGATGCCCGGATAAATGCAAATGCTTAGAAACAATTTTGAGAAAAAAGTACTTCAGAGAATAAGGATTACAGTTGATTGTAGCGCAAAGATTAGTTGGCTTTGTTTGACGTAGTTTTTGTGAGATTTTTCTTGATTGCTTTGTTACTTAAATAGGTAGGGTTCCTGTGTTTATATAGTAAATTTTAGAAAAAGTATGAAAACATTGCGTGTAAATATGTATTAAATTTTTAGGCATAAGTTTCTAATATGAATAGAACACACCTAATATAATTTGGATTTAATATTTGAAGACGTAAATGGGTTTAACTGAAACTATCAAAATTAAACGATTTTTATATTTAGCCACAAACCCGATTTTATTGAATATTTTAATGTTGAACCACAAAATCGAGTTTACTGAAAATTTTAGCGCTTAAGTACAAAACCAAAAGTTTTTGTAAAAAATTCTGAAGTTTAACCATAAATATCAGTTTATTGAAAAATGTTCAACCACAAACTCGAGTTTACTGAAAATTTTAGTATTTAAGAACAAATTTGATTTTATTGAAAGTTTTAGAGTTTAACTGCGAATTTGAGTTTGATGAAAATTTTAACCACTAACTTAAGATTATCAACAATTTTTGGAACCAAAAATTTTAGCTTAACTCGTCTTAATCCTTGTCGTAATAAAGATATAATTCTATTATGTAATACAATTCAATTTCAAAATTGACCTTAGTGTTAAAAATTTGGTCACTCAGGTTTGACTGCCTTGAAAATTTACCATCATTTGAAAAAACTGTTAAAATGTTAATGAGTTTATGATTTCTTTTCATGACATAACAATTTTTAGCTCTCTGTTGAAAAATATGGAGACATGCTTTGACTGTATTGAAAATTTACCATCATTTACAAAATAATACCAACAGTCTGATATTCTTAAACACTGAAAATAGAGCACTAAAGTAACATTTTGATTTACAAGTATAAATGCTGCTTGTTCGATTCGCCACTCTTCAAGTTTTGACAACACTGCTAACATAAGCAATAGGGATCATCATATAGCCCTCATTGGAAAAACATTACAATATCAACTATCCAAAAGTCTTTTTTTATGTCTTCAACTAAGGAAAGATTTTCGTCCATTTACTTTAAATAATATTTATTCAAGATAAGCGCAGAAAGCCATAATATTACTCATTAGAAAGTTAGTAAATATTCCATTTCAATTGTAAATGTCTACTAATTACTACTCGTACTATAATTTGCAAGTGAGTAAAACTGAAAGTAAATTTTTTTAAGTACATGAGATTCCTTTGCATTGCCTTAACATAAAACCCGACTTTTCATTAGACACAGCAAAAGGCCATATGCCTTCATAACAGACATTTCCACTTGAGAGACAAAAGATGCCAGCCGACAACAAGTTCTGAATGTCCTGAAAATATTTAAATGAGAAATGAGACACGGGAAAGGGTGCTCGACTAGTAACTCATCAAAGGATAGTGCAGACAAAGCAACGTCTGACAGGGTGGTGTGCAAGGGAAGTAGTCTGTCAATAGTAGCAGTACATATTTACTTAACTATATACTATATATACAAGTATATACATAAATACATGCATATCGAACTAGCAAATCAGTCGAGCGCATAGACAGGAAAATGGCAAAATAATGAGTGCACAAAGGCAAGGATACTACACATTTATAGTACAACGCTCGTACCAGCTGATATACATGCATTCATATATGAATATAAACTCATGTATTTGCCATTTTTACAATTTCCATTCAATCATCAATGCCTGTTACGCTGCTCACGTTCGATAAGTGTATGCCTGTGTGTTCAGGTACTTGAACTTCCTGCATTGAGCGCCGATACGATTCGATTTCAATTGTCTGCTGTTGAATGGTTTGGTGGTTTATTGGCAAACTGACGCGTCCTACCAAATGGCTTGGCAGGCATTCATCATAACTGTGTATTACAATAAGCATGTGCACGTCACATGTCCGTCCGTCAGTCAGCAGCACTGACAGCTAATGCGTTCGTTGTGGCAGTTTCGCAAAAAAATTGAAAAAAAATGCTTAACACATTTGTTCTGCTTTTTAAATGTCCGTTATGCTGCATGCTTATATATAACTTATATGTATGTTTGTGTGTATACATATATGTATTTTCATATCCTTATAGAAATATGGCATGTTAATTTTTTGTGTGTGCCTGTTTCGGTTAGTCAGTTGTCTGTGTGTCTGATGCGGCTTGCCAGTATGCGGATCGATTGTGTGGCAACTGTTTTTGATGAACTCGTACGCGCAAACATTTTGATGAACCTCCTGCAGAGATTATCTGTTGTAGGAGTGAATTTATGGGCGAAATATGGAATATACATTAGTATGTATATACTTATATAATATAAGTTATTCTATATTTCAAACGTAGCAAAATGTATTTATAATTTGATAGCATACTTAATAATAACTTCGCAGCAATATCTGATTAAAAAATGCCGGTAAAAAGTTCTTCAGAATCCCGCAATTTCGGGATTTGTATTACTTTGTATAACGAAATATAATTTAATAAATAATTTGTGGCAGTATTTGATTAAAAAAATCGCATGGTGATATCCCGATGAAAATTTTTTCGGGATTTTTATAGTTTTGTTTGTATTGGTTGTTTATAATAAATAAATTTCCAATATATGAAATTTCGGGATTTCTGTATTTTTTTTCAACATATATTTAAATTAATTAATATTGTATGTAAAACGTATCACAGAAAATTTCGGAATCACGAAAATCAGAAATTTTTAGTTAATAATTTAGTTAGTAATTAATATTTTTATTAAACACATTTTTTAACTTAAAATTTAATGAACGCGTATATGATATTGCAAACATCTCTACATATTATCGAACTAAAAACATTTAATAATTTTATGTGAGGCCATAAGCGTTTGGTTTTAAGTTTTAAAACTGGCTTTTATGTATGCCGAAATTTCGGGATTATCTTTTTGTTTCCTAATTTTTTGCATAATTAAAAGAAAGAAAGAAGCTTAACAAATAGCGTTATTTAATAAGTTTATGTGAAGTTATAAGCATGCTTTTTAAGTTTCGGGACTGTCAATGGCGAATCCCGAAATTTCGGGATTAACATTAGATTTCCTAATTATTGCTTAATATATAATAATGCATTTTTTTTACACAAGCCGGAATCTAATTTCAGCAATTTGTGTTTTCAAGCGGATATATTTTGAAACTTGTGCTTCTACAATACATTGTACTTGTATGTACACGCATCCATACTAAAATTGCGCATGTATTATAATGTTAATGCTTAAGTGATTTGCTAACCACATACGCATATGAATTTATTGTTAAATGAAGCATGCAAATAAGAACTCGCTTGTCTGCAGCTTTCAACAGATTTCCCAAGCACTCTATAAGTGTGCATACACACACACATACAATACATATTTACGCACTTTGGTGCACTTTAATTAATGCACCCTAAGAAATAAAATGTGTAAAGCGCTCATTACACGCCCATTTGTTGCATAAAATGACGAAATTGTATATTCTATGCACTATGCGGCTTCCTGTCGGCGCTGAAAGCAATTGTTGCACTCAATAGAGTGAGTGGGAAAAGTATGCGTGCACATGAGCCAGGTTTGACTCATTCTTGTGTGTGCGTGTGTGTAAGTTTGTGCACGCTGCTGAGCAATAAATAAGATTGGTGCGCACCTTTTGTAGATAAAAGCAGCAAAAGCCGCCACTCCTAACACACTCCTTTTATCCTTTGAATTTTTTATAGCTCAAATGAAAAGAAAAAGTGCTTGGGTGCCCAACAAACGCATTGGAATACAATAGCAGCGTAGTTCTAATATATTACGGTGTGTCATGCCGTGAATAGACACACATTGCGTTGCGCATGCGCAGCATAAATTCATAAGCAGGCCGCAAAGGTGTTAGTAGCGGCTATAAATATACAAAATTAGTTTAAAAACACCTTTTTGAAATTTTTTTATACTAATTTAAAGATTCTAGAACTTATCGCGTTATTATGCTGAATGTGAAGACTTTTTGTATGTATATGATAGTAGTTTAGCTATAAAACTCTTATATTGTTTGTGCTGTTGAAAGCAATACAGTCGACGTTGAAAGCAGCTGAAGTGCGTCTATCAAAAAACTGGCGTTGAATATAATAGAAGTAGCAGTTGAAATGCGTCGGCAATAAGCGCGCTTCCTTCTTGAGTAAATACTATTCTAAGCAATATAATGCTAATGCAATTATAATGATGCTACAACAACAGCGTTAGTGAAGCATGGTGCCCACTGCATCCACGCAACTCTGAAGATAACGAAGGTGCATGTGCAGCACATCCAGAAAGTGTAGTTAGGCATTGAATTTTTATTTTGTTTCAAATACAAATGCACATAAATTTGTTTGTGGATCATCAGCATTCAGATTAAAAAGCAACAACACTTTTATATCTATTATTTCAGGCTCGAATTTATGCGCGAGGTGTTAAATATTTCAACTGGTCTTAGCTGCTTTGTTATCCGCTCAACCGAAATTGCAACAAAAGATGCATTTTCATGCCGCGGGCAGCCAAACATATGCATGAGCTACATGCGTATTTATTTTACATTAATGCAACAACAACATTATACTATTTGTATAAATGGTTTTAAGTGGTTTGAAAATATTGGTTGCCTGCTGGCTGTTGGAGTAGAGGCTTATAGGGCTTATAAATGACTGTTAAAAGGTCATCAATATG